TAGCTTAGGCAAGAAGTTTCCTAGCACATAATTGGGTGATATAAATTGATTTATTTTAAGAACCAATAGTGTATATTCTATTTTCTTCTTAAATAGATGCTAGGATTCTGGATATATTCAAATAGTCATAAAATCTAACACATCCTGTGTATAAGTTTCATGGTTCAACAAGACTTTTGGTTGAAGTCTACTAAACAAGTATAAAAGATTAAAGCCTGAAGTCAACTGGTGTAGAAGCCAAAGCCTTAAAATGTGTAATTAAATTTGCATTGAATATAAGTAAATTTCCATTTTAGAAAACATGTTCAATTCAACTCATCCAACACTTACTGAGCATTGTGCTGTGAGAGTTTTATCAATAAGGAACAAATCACCTGTGACGCTATTGCAACAGCACTGTGGAGAGCTGATAGAGTTTGAGCCACAGCAGTGATCACGGGTGGAGGGGTTCCCAAATGAAAGACATTTTTACATTAGGATTGATAGGTGGCTGGATGTGTGGATTGAGGGCACTGGGAGCATTTAAGATAATGTGAAGACTTTTAACTTCAGCACTGGGTGAGTGATGACACTCTTAAACAGGATAGGCTGTACAAGAAAGGAAAGGCTTGGGAAGTGTGAGAACGTTCAATTCAGTTTTGAACTTTTGTATCAGAGACATCTGTAGGATATTCATGTAGAATTGAATACAAAACATTTCTGTGTCCTTGTGAAGATTGTTATTAAGAGGGTACTGTTGATTTCTTCTTTTTCTTTTTTTTTTCTATATTTTTCCTTTTTCTCCCCAAAGCCCCCCGGTACATAGTTGTATATTTTTAGTTGTGGGTCCTTCTAGTTGTGGCATGTGGGACGCTGCCTCAGCATGGCCTGATGAGCGGTTGCCATGTCCGTGCCCAGGATCCGATCCAGCGAAACCCTGGGCCGCTGAAGCAGAGCGCACGAACTTAACCACTCGGCCCCGGGGCTGACCCCCTGTTGATTTCTTCTTGAAGTTCTGGGCCATGGGACAATTCTAGACTGTGATACAAGCAGTAGTGACATTTGCCCTAACCCCTGTAACATGGTTCAACCCCCAAATTTAGCACATAATTGCATTTTATCTTATGGCACATTCTAAATGTTCTAAATCACTCTGGCCTCACCTTGTAATTATAAACATTAGGGCCACGATGAAGTATTATGCTGCTCCAGCAGGCTCAGCAGTGCTAGTGAAGTCCTCCTAATGGCCTCAGCGAGCACTACCACCACGGAATCAGGATTTGTTCTCCAAAGTAGCTGGTGGTGCTACAATAGTAAGTGTATTGAGGAATTGCATTCATTCATTCATTCATCCATTCATTCCCTACTAACTGAGTGCCTTTTATATGCAAGGTATTGTTACTTTACAACTTGGCATGAAGCAGTACGGTTGCCTTGCTTCTAGAAATAGATACCACAACAAAATCTTAGCATAAAATCTTTTAATTTCCTTTTCAGAGATTTATCCGTTGTTTTATATGCAGAAATTACTTTTTTAATTCCTTGAAACCTTAAGCTCACTTCTGGTAGAGAGAGAGGTATTGAGGGAATGTAGAAAATGAAAGAATTAAGAAGATAAAGTGAGTATGAACTCGCCTAGGATATTAGACATTGATCTCTGCCGGAGGACATTCTTGCTAGACCTGATTCTGACAGTCAGATCTACCTAGCACTTTTCTTAACTGCTGTCTTGCCTGATTTTATTTGTTGTCCACTGAACTTACTGCAGTGGCACGCTAATCGAATGTGGGAATTAAGAGCAAGGTGTGAGCACTGCCTCGGTTCATATGCCTTGTCACTTGGTGTCTGTGTGAGCCTGGCTAAATTGCAGCCTAAGTCTTGATTTCTTCCTCTGTAAATGGGGATAGAGCACTGTGCAGCTAGCTCTATTGCATTAATTGAAAACTGTTTAGCATGCTACCTGGCACACAGGATATGTGCAATAAATGCTAGCGTTAGTAGTGATGAATTACTGTGAGTCCTAATAGTACATTGTCTTCGTGCTAGGTAACGTTCAAGTAGGATGTTTAGTTTTGAAAATTGTATTAATTATTAAATGTAAATATATATTCATTGATTGTTTCTATTTTATTTTTAGTTCTGAAACATTATTCTTCATTTCTCTACCTTGAGATTTTCATAATCCAACGTGTGTATATATAACTTTTCTGTCCTTCTTTGTACATTGATCTCTGCCGTTAAAAAAATATATATACTTAGAGATATCCTGATCTCATATTTATAGAAAATAACTTTCTCCTGTCTCTTTGCTCTCCTTGTTCCCTCATGCCCAATTAACCTATCTTATAAGAAACCTCTGTAGATTAGTGATATATGGTGTACAAAAAATAAGAGTAACTAAAGAAAAAGCATGCAATAAAGCAGAGCAGGTACTTCCAGCAGAGGGAGATATTGGCAAAATAATCAAGCCACATCACATGCAGGTGCAATGGGCAACAAATTTAAAAACAAAGCTTTTGTTGTGTGAAAAATCTAACTAAGAATTAACTAAATATAAGTTGAGTGACACCATGGTTTCTGTTTTGCTAGTTGCCAAACCCGAACTCATTCTGCATACCTGGGGAAGCACTATGAGGACTCCATACACCATACCATTGCCATGTAACTTTTCTCACATACTGTTTCAGAGATGGAAGCAAAGACAAGATCACTGACACTTCTCTCTCTGAATCTCTAAACATTGCCAGTAATGGAAGTTACAGGCTGGATCACTTAAAGTGCATAAGCTATATTCCCATAATTCAAAAAGATTTTTTTCATGGAGTTCTAGACTATGTGAATAAACTAGTGTAGCTCTAAATAACATAAACTAATGGACTGAATCAGAACACTATCCTTCTTATAAAGGTAGACATTGTTAAAAAGATTACATCTTTGTAATTTAGCTCTCCAAATTTCTGAAATTACTGGGAGGCCTATAATTAAAAGCAAATTAACAACATTTAATTCAGCTTGCATTGGAATTTTTTCAAGTATTTTCAGTAGGACAGTTAAATTGCTTTGAACCTTTACTTTTCCAACAGAAACATCACATTTCTTTCTGTTGGCAACATTGTCCAATAACTGACTGCTGTAATAGTCCCTGTGCGCTTTGAGATTTAGTACTCTTATTCTATCACACTCTAAGAAATTGCTGCCCTGGAACTTGGGGATGTTGAGACTGCCCTTAAACCTGAGAGTCTCACGTAATACTTGACTGAGTTTTCCCCTCTGTAGCATGCCTAAATATTTTGATGTGGATTTTATTACTTTTGGCTGCGTTAGTAAAATCAGTTTGTAAAATGTCCAAAGAACTTTATATAATACACAATATACATCTTAAAATTCACTATAGTAATTTTGTAGTTTAAATTTCTACTTAGTTGATTCAGAAATGGAAGTTACATGGCTCTGCTGATTTTATTCTTAATAATTAATTTGGTAAACATTACCACCAACAACTTAATAGATATGAGCTATTAAGTAAACATGTAGCTTTTATTTAGAATTCTGCAAGCCTTCATCAATTTTCTTGCTTTTAGTTTTTGCCAGGGAGCATCACCATTCTTTGAGTTTTAGTGGATTTTTAAATTTCATAAGTAACTATGGAGGATCACCTGTGCTAGAGTAGACTTCCTAGCCTGGTTTTTCTGGTAGAGCTAAAGTTCTTTCCTGGCTTGCACCATGCTTTTGTAAGGTGAACATTTTAAATACTTCCTTTAACTGTGGTATGTGTGGTTTTTGAATTATTAAAAATAATTTTCAGTGAATGGACTTAATTGGATTGCTCCATCTAAAGAGTTTCTTTGAACCACTACAGACAGATTGGAACACCTTTTTTTAACCTTTGTAAATAAGTTAACATGGATTAAAAAGGGCCTTAGAAAAAGGGGATTGAACAAATAAAAAGCCAATCTATCAGTGTGCCTATGGGTGTCCATTAGTATAGGCAAAATCATGCTGCAGTAATAAGCCTAAAAACTCAGTGACTAAAAACAAAGAAGTTTACTTTTCACACGTGCTGATGTCCATTGTAGTTTTTCGGCAGTGATGTCTTTGTCGTAGTTACTTGGGAATGCAGATTCCACCCTGACACGAGCTTCAACGATTACCGTTCTGGGGAAAGAAAAAAGTGTAGCGAATCTCCTGATGCTCTTAAAACTTCTGCCTGAAAATGGCACAGTTCACCTTGGTGAGATGTGGCCACACCTGAGTTCAACAGGGTGTGTGATCTTCACACAGAGAGGGGCTCCGGATGTTGCAAACAGTATGCCAGTTTTCCACATTCTTCTAAATTGAGTGAGCATTTGAAAACTGTTGATAGTTTCTAGACTTAACTTATGGAATATCTTGCTTAAAACTGACCACGGGAAGAAAATGAATTGTTTTCACCTGATCGTAACCTGATTAGTCTTAGAACTCATACTGAGTTCAGTGCCTTGAATACATACACCCCCCCCCCCCCCCCCCACCATTCTACATGGTCCAATGACGCAGGAACTGTTTTACAGTAATGTTTATGCCACTGGGGATGTTGCCGTCATTCCACAGGCAGTGTGGACAGGGAGCAGTGGGGTTGCTCGGGCTGACCTCCTTTAAATTCACAGTTGTGGGTCAGCCAGGGCCTTTCATAAATTTAATGACCCCAATACAGTTTAGCAGGGTTTTAAACTTCTTTCTTTTTTCTTTCTTTTTTTTGGCTCTTGGAACAACAATAACAACAAAGGCCAAGTTTTCCTTTGGAGTTTAAATAGATAATCGTATACTGTATTAAGAGAAAATTCGGATGCAACAAATAGCTAATAGCTTAAATAACAAATATAATGGAACCAGTAGAAACATTGCCAAAATTCACACCAAAATGAAAATATTGTAATTTGTTATAAATATCTAGTGTTTATTGTTTACTTAATCTCACACAAATTAGCTATTAATTATTTAGTTATGGGTAACATTTCTCTTTTTTATCCTGATTTTTTTAGGTATTACTGATTTTCCCAAAATATTTTGTGAAACTTCCCAGAAGCTGGTGAGTGTGGAAGGCTTTGCTCTGGCTGCAAAATATTATTCTATACAAAACTTGGGAATATGTACTCCTTTTGAACAGTTACTTGTAGCCCTTCGAGGAAATCAAAAACAGAGAACTGGTAGGTGTATTTGTGTAAATGTGTGTTTATGTTTTCTAGGCACTTATTTTATTAATTCAGGTTTGATTCATAGCAGCTAAACTAATAGAGATCTATCATACAGATACCACAATAGGGTCTCTATATCATTTTCATATTTAATTGTAGAAAACATGAACATCAACTGATGATTTTTGTTAAATTTTTTTCTTTAATAGCAGTATTTTAATTTTGTTTTATTTTTGTTGAGGTGAAAATGTGAAACCAGATGAGTTTATGAATTTGAAAAAATCTCACGAAGTTCAGGCAATGTCAGAGGTGATCAGCAGTGTTGCTGAGTACTGTGGAATAAAACAGGTAAGAGTATTTCCTTGTATTTTCAGGTGTTACAATTATTGCCATTTTTTTGGTATCATTGAAATTTCCTTTTTTACTATCACTGTCTAGCCTTTAAAATGTCATTAAATAACAGTTGATGTAAGATATGTCAGCTCTTTTAAATATGCGCTCTCACTTCCCACTACCTTGTATTTATAACAAATTTATAAGATTCTGAAAATAAGATACTACTATTAGCGTTTTGCTACAAATTTTACTCTTTTCAGAGTCGATAGAAGCGAAGGGTAATTCTCTTTGATTTGTAGGAACTCCAACTTGAGGCAGCATTATAAAGATGCCATTCTGCAGAATTGTTTGTCACTAGGTGTTCCCAAGTTGTGGTCTGGGGCACCTGCCTCGTTATAGTAACGCGAAACTGTATTTTACAACTTGGATTCTTTCATAGTGTCAGAATCACAGTGCATTCCTGTTGTGAAAAATAGCTTTTGTGAAGGGTAGTGTCTGAAAACAGATGTTAAAATAAAATCAAAGATTGCCTACATTGGCCTATAAAAATAGTAAGTTATTTTTCTTATTCCTACAAGAACATCTATGGGGGTAATGAAGGATTTTCTCTCCTTCAATTTTTATTAGGTGTTAGGACCTTTTCCATGGATTCTTCCAGACTTGTGGAGAGTTTGAGGATGATTAGAAAACTATCACAGCTTGGGCTAGGCATGCAGAGCCGCTTCTGGCAAAGTGGATCTCTAGGGTAGGAGCTAGAAGCGAGAGCTAAGGGAGTAGTTGCAGCCTTTTCTTCAGTGCTCCATACCTAAGCGATGCTCTCAGGATCAGTAACAGACTCACCCCGGCGGTGAGACTCAGCTGGAGTGGAGGGAGCAAGTACACAGTAAGTCTTAACAAACTACAGCCATACGTATCACACAGAGGAATATTAGCAAGAAAAATTGAATGGGAAAAATAAGCAATTTACAGAAGACTATTTTATGATACCATTTTTGAACAGCTCTTAAGCAAAATAATGGTATATTCTTAATGCAAAAAAATATATGCACAAAACTATTAAAGAAGCAAGGGAATCATAAAAATGCTTTGAGAGTAGTTACCTGTGGTAGGGGAAGCAGGGAGATGGGATATGGAAGGAAAGCATTGTTATATGCAGTGGAAATACTAATATTCCAGTTCTGAGGGTGGCTGGTGGGTTCATGGGTCTAGCAGATGCTGGTGGGGACCTCACCCAGATACTCTTGGGCCTTACCATTGCATGGGGTGCAGCCCGCTTTCTACCCGACAAGATCTGCAGTTCTGTCCCTGTGAGTCTCCTCTGGCTGCTGAAGCAAGGCACTGCCTGCATCTGAGCTCTGGGAATTAATTCCTCCCTGTGAGCAGCCTTGAATCAATGATTGATACAAGTTGATACACAAATGCATCAACTCACTGACATTTCAGGTGTGATCATTCTGAGGCGTGTGTTCACACTAGCTCTCAGAGTTTCCGAGTGTGATTAAAGCCAAATTGGCCTAAAGTGGTATCTTGCTTAATAACACTCCTTTTATTGGGCTGCCTTCCTTTCTCTTTTTCTCTTCTGTACTTCCCTACCGGTATTCCTTTCACCTCCCAAATAAGTCTCTTAAATCTTTGGTGTAGAATCTGCTCTGTGGTAACCCAAACTGAAATAAGGGGTATTTATTGTTGTGCTTTGTAACTTTATATTTTGACTACATTTATTCTTTTATTTATATGAAATATTACATAGTACTAAGTAACTTTAAATGAATAAGGCAGATTTATTTCTAAATTGCAGAGAAAATTTTTTAAGTAGCTTAACATATCATGTTAGACCTGCTTTAAGTGAACCTTTTTCATAGCAATGGAGATTGTTCCTAGTGATAAAAATAACCTAAAATAAAGACTTACAAGGTCTTTCTCTTGAAATCACTTAATAGCAATATTTGATTCTCACAGTAGTTAAGTTTAAAATGTATTATATATGTACTACTTTTCTTTTAAAATGAAGATTTAATAAATACAAATTTCATGGGGATGTCTGGAAACCCAGATTCTGAAATACTTGACTTTACTAGTGACCATAAAGAACTAGAGAAGAAAAAAACCACAATTCATTTTTGCATCAACTATATTGCTCCCTACATGCCAAAACCCTTTGCTTCTCTCATTCACATTACCAAGGCATCTTAATTTTTATTTCTAAAATGTGTTCATTGATTCATACTTGCATGCATGCATTCATTTAACAAATATTTCTTTAGCTCCTACTGTGTGTCAGGCACTGTTATAGATACTGAAGATATAGTCGTGAACAAAACAAAATGAATCTTTGCCCTTGTGCCATTTATATTCTAATGAGGAGAGGTAGATAATAAAACAATTATAAGTATATTTTATTGGATATGTTGATACACTTTAAAGAGAAAAAATAAATAAAATGAAAGGAAGTTGCTAATTCAGGGATGGGAGATTAAAATTTTTGATTAGGAAGGAAGGGGCAAGTAAGACCTCGTTGTATAGGTAGCACTTGACTTAAGACCTCCTTCAGGAGGTTAGAGAGTTATCCATCAGAATATCTGGGTGCAAAACTTTTCAGATAGAGGGAATGGCCCTGAAGTAGGAATATGCTTGCTGTGTTCTTGAAACAGCCAGGAACCCAGTGGAGAGGGTGAGGGCAGTGAAGCAGGAGCTGAAGTTGCAGTGGTGGAAGGCAAGTCATGGAGTTGTAGCATCTTTGAGGCCATTGTGGTGATTTGGGCTTGTATCCTGAATGAGTTGGGAAGCCACTGGGGCAGTCTGGCTGCTGTTTTGAGAAGGGTTTTGAAGCAAATACTTCCACTGTCTTTGCATTCTTCACCAGTCTTTGTTTGTAGACATTCAAGCTGGTTCTTTTCAGAAATTAGCTCCTACCTGATCATGAGCTTCCAGAGTTGAGGCAAGAAACCCAGTTAACAAAGGAGGTTAGTATCAGGAGATAAGATTAGAGAGGTGATGAGAGATTGTACCAGGAGGAATGGTATGATCAAACTTTGTTATAGACTCAAGGGGAGAAAGGTGGGAGCAGGGAGGCCAGGAAGGCTGTTGGAGTAAGCCAGCCTCAGGGAGCAGTTGGTATGAAGTACCCTTGGTAAGATCGTGGGTTTGCTCACAAATCGGTTGGAGGGTATAAGAGAAAGAACTGAGTCCTATTCTCCACCTGGAAGTATGGAGAGATCACTAACTGTGATGGAGAAGATTGTGGGAGGGCCAGGTTTTACAGAGAATATCAAGAACTTAGTTTTGAACATGTTAAATATGAAATGCTTATTAGAATTCAAGTCGAAATGTTAGGTAGACTTTTGGATATATGAGTATGAAGTTCATGGGAGAATTCCATACTGGAGTTATAAATTTGAAAGTGATTAGCCTAGAATGGCAGATCTCCAGGTCATTCAACAAAATATAACTCTTCTTTCTGAAGTATAGTGCCATACTCAGACTACTAAGAAATGTAACCACTGTGTGTAACAATGTTTATGTGAGATATGTGGGAAATCCTCCTAAACAGAATTAGGGAACTAGGAAGATAGCCCCCGCCAAGCATTGAACTGGTGCCTCCTCTGTCTTCAGGTCTACAGGATGATCCAGGAAGGAAAAGACTTGTGAATAAGGTGTAGTTGACCAAGATGGTGGAGATTTTGCTATTCAGACCAGATAGTTTGAAAGCAAAAAGTTGTGTGGCTTATTTAACTTTTAATTGCACAGAGTTTTTCATTCTATTGTAACACTACTACATGTGTTACTAAAGGACAATTTGGAGGGTGATAAAAGTCAAGCTGGGTGAATAAGAGACAAGTTAAAGTTGGCTGACAGATTTTCTAGGAAAATTTGCCCATTACTGAAAAGATTTTAGATATTATATTGTGAAGACATGATTCTTAGAGTTTCTATAGCATCTTGCAGCCGGAAGGATTACAAATAAGATGGCCCAAAGGCTGTATGTGGTTGAGCTTCTGCATGGTTCGACTTTACTACCAGATTTTTTAAGTAAGGTGAATTTTTTTCGTTGTTCAAAATTTAATGTTCTGTTACTTGCAGCCAGAATTTTTCTGATTCACAAGTGGAATTGTCATAGATTTGGGAACAAACTCAGTTATGTCTTGGTAACAAAACATCTGAATTGGCAGAAACAAATGTGCTGGTGCTTGCAAGCAACCCACTTGTTGCCAGCCTTAAGCTTGTTATTGGCATCAGTGAGTATGTCTTGTAGAAGGAAAGGAAGGGAGAGCTTTGCTTTCTCTGGAGATTGTGATACGGGAGAATTGATAATAGAGTTTCTACTGTATAGCCCTTGTATTCATAAGTATGAGTATGATATCTTCAGTTAGATTATGGTTCCTTAAAATCAAGATATAAAATGCTTCTGTATTTCCCACAATTCCTAGCCCAGAGATTAACATAAAAAAGGGGTATAGAGAATTAGTTGTAGGCTAGTCACTTATTTAGGGGACATTATTTGTTGAGTCTTACCTATGAACTACTTGAATTGCCAGCGCTGAAATTTTCAAGGATTTAATTAATGACATACATTACTTCAAATGTAGGAATGTTCCCTTGAGTGGCTCATACTTATGTGAGGGTTTAATTGATTTTAGGAATTAAAGATAGATATAATAAGATTAGATAATGATTTCTTTTGATAGTATTTCTGTAATTGTCCATTTATTGCTTATGAAGTGACATGGCAGTACAATAACAATCTTGCTAAGTTTTTCTTTCTCCTGTCATTTTTAGTGCTGTTGAGGTATAATTTCCATATTCACCAATTCTAGGTGTACAATTTGATGAATTTGGTAATTGTATGCAGTTGTGTAACCACCACTTTAATTAAAAATATTTCTCTCCCCATAAAAATTTTCCTCATGCCCTTTTGCAAGATATTTCCTCCTCCATTCTCAAGGAACAGCTGTTCTGCCTGTAATTTTGACTTTTCTGGAACATCGTATAAATGGAATCAAATAATATGTAGATTTTTATGATGACTTCTTTCCTTTAGCACATAGCTTTTCAGAGACATCAATGTTGTGCGTGTGTACTCTTTGTTCCTCCTTATTGCTGGATGATATGCCGTAATATGGATGTACCACAATTTGTTTTCCATTCACTAGTTGATGGACATTTGAATTCTTACCATTTTTGGGGCTGCTATTAATATTCACGTACAAGACCTTGTTTGGACATTTTTCCATTTCTCTTGGGTAAATAGCCCGGAATGGGATTTGTAAGTGATATAGTAAGTGAGTGTTTTAACTTTATGGTAAACTGCCAATGTTTTCCAAAGTGCCTGTACCATTTTACATTTGTGTGTATCTCATTATGATTTTAGTTTGCATTTCCCTGATGATCAGTGATGCTGGGCATCTTTTCATATTGGCCATCTTGTGTCTTCTTTTGTGAAGTGTATGTTCAGATATTTTGCTTGTTTTTTAATTGGTTGCTTGTCATCTTATTGAGTTGTAAGAGTTCTTTATATAGGATACAAACCATTTGTCAGATATATGTTTTGCAAATATTTCTTTTCCTTTTTGACTAGCAAAAGTTTTAATTTTAATGAAATCTGTTTTTTCAGTTATATCTTTTGTAGTTCATGTTTTTCATGTCCTACTTAAGAAATCTTTGTCCCTCTCAATGTCACAAAGATTTTCTCCTGTTTTCTTCCAGAAGTTAATAGTTTTTACTATTACATTTAGATCTGTGATCCACATTTAATTAATTTTTGTATTTAGCATGAGACAGGCAAAGTTCATGTTTTTCCATACAGACTTTCAGTTATAACAGCACCATTTGTTGAAAAGACCATCTTCTCCATTGAATTACCTTAGCTGTTTTGTCAAAAATCAGTTGCCTGTATAAGTATGGGTCACTTTCTGGACTCTATTCTTTTCCATTGATTTTTATGTCTGTTTTTATGCCAACATTGCACTGTTTTGATAACTGTAGTTGTATGTTGATTCCTGAATCAGTGTAAATCCTCCAACCCTATTCTTTTTCAAAGTTGGTTATTCTAGGTACTTTACCTTTCCATATAAATTGTAATATATGCTTGTCAATTTCTTTAAAAAACCCTGCTGCGATTTTGATTAGGATGGCATTAAATCTTTATGTCAGTTTGAGAGAATTGCCATCTTAATATTGAGTCTGCTATTTCATGAACATGGTATGTCTTTATTTAGAGCTTTTAAATTTTTTGTTTGGAGTGTTTTATAGTTTACAGTGTAAAAGTCTTGCACAACCTTTGTTAAATTTATTCCTAGATATTCTATTTTTATGCTATCTTAATTCAATTGGTTTTCAATTGTATTTCCTAATTGTTCTTTGCTACTATCTTGTATATGTTCTCAGGATTCATTATTAATTTCTAATGATCCTTTATTCTGACACATTGCTAAATTCACTTAACAGTTCTGTTAGTTTTTTAAATATTCTTCAGAAATTTTCTACAGAAACAGTCATGTCATCTATGAAGAAAGACAGTTTTATTTCCAATATTTATGTCTTTTACATCTTTTCCTTTACTTATTACACTACCTAGAACCTCTTTTCAAATGCTGAATAAAAATTATGAGAGTGGTTGGTTTTTAATAGAAATCAAAAAAATAAAAAACAAACATAACAGGTTGTATAAATTATACAACCATTTGTTTAGTTGCTTTTTAAAAAAAAATATCAAGAATGCTTTCTGTTACCGTCTGCCTAAAATCCTTTAGTTCATTCTCTTTTTCTTACTTTAGGTAATTGACCTGGGTTCTGGAAAAGGCTACCTAAGCTCCTTTTTGTCTTTGAAGTATGGGTTAAAAGTTTATGGAATCGATTCCTCAAATACCAATACTCATGGAGCTGAGGAGAGAAACAGGAAATTGAAGAAACATTGGAAAGTCTATCATACTCGGTCAAAATTAGATGTCAATGGACTGGTGTTAAAAATGGCAAAAGAAAGGAAAGTGCAAGATGGAATTAACTGTAAAGCAGATATTGAGGGAGATTGTGACAGCAGTCCCGCGAATCAAGAAGAGAAGTGTACCTCAGATTTTTTGCCAGATTTTTCAGGCTCTGTAATTTCTAACATCAGAAAACAAATGGAAAACCTACATGTTCATTCACATCAAGAAGACAATTTGTGTTTTGGAAATGCATTTTCTCTTATAGACCTTTTGCCTATTAATGCCATAGAACCTACTTCTTCATGCCGGATACCTAAGAGAAAAATGTCTGAAGCAAATAAAGAGAGAAGAAAAACAACATCGAAGTCAAATGAATCAAATATATATTCACCTTTAACATCGTTTATCACTGCTGACTCAGACCTAAATGATATTATTAAAGATCTGGAGGTGATTGCGCTTTTGAATTCCTTAATTTGATTTAAATTGATTTATAAAAATGCTCTAAGACATAGAATTAAATTTAATAGTAGCTTACTTAACCTGCATATCTTATTTGATTACATTAATCTGAAGGACCAAGAAAATAAAATTGGATGCAGGCTTTCATGCTTCCCCCCGCTATCAAAATCTGACAAGAGTACAGTCTGACAATCTGACAATTACAGTTTTCCAGAAGAGAGTGCCCCCCACTCATTTCGAGCTTCCTAAATCAAACATCAGTACTAACACGAAAACTAGTAAGCTAAGTTCTCATTATGCAGTTTAGGGATTGTTAAAATTCCAATCTGAGAAAACTTACATAAAACTCTTAAATTTGAGGTAAAGAGGTATCTAGGGCAATATTATGTTTAATGCTAGCCTTGGTAACCAAATGTGCAGTTTTCTTGAGCAAGAGTAGCTTCTGAGTATTCTTAAAGAATTTGAACTTTTTCTAAACTACAAGTATGTCAGATTATGTAAGAGAAAGGCAACATTTTATGTTAAAACTATAGTGTAGAGGAGCTTCTAGAAATCATTTGGCCTCATTCATTGTCTTAAAAAACAAAGTAGCTTTTGAAGTTGTGATATTCTACTCTTGTTAAAATTTTCAGAAATCCTTCCCTAAAGAATTGAATAAATGAAAGATACCAGAGTTCTTTATAAATTAAAATCCTTGTTTGGTAGCTGACTAGTGTTTTGTCATTTTAGAAGGGGACATTTTTCTTTTTCTGAGATAATTTTGGATTCCACTAATTAAGGGAAACTGGTTAATCTTCATTAATTGTTTTTCCTATGTATGAGATCAGTAATTAGCTTATATCTTAACATTCTCTTAGGGTTAAACAACCCCAATTACTTTAACCTAACTTCAAAAAATATAAATTTTTAGTGCTTATTATCATATATTTATATTTTTCAAAGTCTTGAGGAAAGTATATGATCAAATCTGTATGGAAACTTTTATAAGAATCTATCTTATACAAGATATACCAGAAGAATGTTTTTGGATCCTATAGTGAATTAGCGATTTAATAACCAGGATTAGCCAATACCTCCTGTCCCCTCCTCACCTCACAATACACACATACATTACTTAAATATTTTAGTATTAGGATAATATGGTGATTGCATATTTTTATCTGCCACCTGCTAATATTATTAACTAATTTTATATGCTAAATACAGTAAAGAATGAGATTAAATGTTCTTATATTATCTTTAGGTAGAGCTAAGCTAAGTGTAAAGAGAGGTTTATACCTCTGTTGTTCTCCTCTTAATTAGCAATAAAGTCTTCCTCTCTGAATTCCTTTTTATTTATAACATTGTAACATCTAAATAAAACCTACCCAATCATCAAGAAAAAATAGTTGCACAACACTCCAAAATGTGTGCTTTGTAGAGAATTCTGGTTGAAGGAACTGAATGTTCTATCAGGTCAAAGCTACTTACAGGAACAATTTTTTTCTTTAGAAAGATTAGACTTCCGCTCTGCTTTATGTGTAGATTGTATAGGCTAAAGTAACTTTTTTAGTAAAATAAATGAAACAATTGTATTTGTTTTGAAGATAGTTATAAAAATATACTTGATTCACAACTTAATATGTCTGTTATTTTGAATTTATAATAACATGATGATGATGATGATAAGAATAGAAATCATTTACTGAATTTTATTGTGTGCCAGAGGTTGTACTAGATCGTTTACCAGTATTAACTTATTTAAGTCTTGCAACCATCCTTTAGGGTGAGGTACTGTTATTATCTTCATTTTACAGATGAGGAAATTAAGGCACTGAAGAGTTAAAACAAAACTGGTGTATTGATCAAGGTTCTGTGAGTGTGTGCATCTGTACCCATTCTCTGTGTGTATACATTTAAATTAGGCTTTGGGTGATTAGAAGAAACTTTTTATAAGAGAATTTTTATATAAAATTCATGTTATAAAATTTAGAACAAAAATTTTTATATTAAAATTAATATTGCCATATTTGATGCAATGAAGCAACTAAGTAAATTTTTTTGGTATTGGAGTAGAAATGCCAACTTAGCCCCACTTATTTGTTTTTTATGACAATGTTTGATAAGTTTTCACGGGCAGTTTGTGAAGAAGTGAATTAAAAAATTGACTGGTAAATTATAAATGTGTCTCAGGTCGCAAATTTGTCCTAGTAATGCATGCTATATTTTATTGGTCCAACCTTTACTTTGGCTAGTTGTTAAGCAAATAATAATTATAAAAGAGATCAGAGAAAATCCAAATGGATAAGTAACCAAGAACACTAGAAAATCAACTCAAAAGTATGTCAGTTGTGATAAAAGATCACGGTCATTTTGCCTACAAAGGAAATAATTATTTGTTATGAAAATAAAAAACAATCCTTTCTAGGTAGAATTTGATGATTTTGAAAACCTCTACATATACTAATGAACTTTTAAAATCTTCACCTGAAATGGGTTTTTTTAGCCTTCCTTCTAATTGCCAAAATTTATTTTTTCTTCTTATTTTTAAAGAATTGTTTGATGGTAGGTCTACATACTTGTGGTGATCTTGCTCCAAATACTCTGCGAATATTTACTTCCAAGTCTGAAATCAAGGGAGTTTGCAGTGTGGGTTGTTGTTACCACCTCTTATCTGAAGAATTTGAAAACCCGCCTAAAGGTACAAAGTTCTCCATATCTTGTCATTTTCTTTATTTGAGCCTAATGGCTGCTTTCTATCTCTCCCTCTTTTTTGTTGACATTATTTTCATTTTGAATTAACATCTGAGATATCTGATATTCTTGCAATCTTAATGTTACGTCAAATAAAATTTGATGCACTATCACCTTATGTATTTTATTTTAGTTTCTTTGGTCATAAAATGATCTTAATGAATGCTTAAAACTGCAAATCTGTGAAAATTTTATGTGGTATATGTTTTAGAGAACTTCTGTTTAAAAATACTTGCAAGATACACATTTGCTAAGATAGTAAAGCTGAGTTATTTTGTCAGGAATATAGAGCTGTAGGGTTTGCTTTCATCCAAAGCCTTCTCCATTTTGTAAGGAATATTGATATTTCTCCCCCAAAAAGTTCCTTACTGAATTTTGAAGAGTCAGTGTACTATGATTTTAAAAAGCTGCAAAACTCTGCAATTGCATTAAAATAATAGTATTCAAACTGTGCTCTCTGGGCTGAGAAGGTACCTGAGGAGCAAAGGACAGAGTACATGGACAGAACTTGAAGCACCCACAACCCTTCATCCAGAGCAGCTCCTGAAATGCCTCTGTTTCATCATTTTATTTCTTATATCTTTTAGATATGGTTTCAAACTTCTGGTTCAGATTAATTGTTATTTAGTCTATTAGTATTAGCAGTTTGCAGGGCTGGCCCAGTGGCATAGTGGTTGAGTTTGTGTGCTCTGCTTCAGCGGCCTGAGGTTCACCAGTTCAGATCCTGGGCACAGACCTACACGCCACTCATCAGGCCATGCTGTGGTGGCATCCCACATATAAGAACTAGAAGAGCTTACAACTAGGATATACATCTATCTACTGGGGCTTTGGGGAGAAAAAGAAAAGAGGAAGATTGTCAACAGAAGTTAGCTTAGGACTAATCTTCCTCACCAGAAAGCATACCTTAAAAAAAGAAAAAAAAAGCAATATGATTTACTATGGCAAATACATGCTCTAAAAAAAAAATTGCAAAAAAAGAAAACCAGTTTTCTTTTTTATTAGTTTAATGAAGTCTCTATCAACATCCAGTGTTCCTTACTAAGAATTTTTAGGTCAGGAAATTATGTGCATATGGATGGTATTGTTTGCTCTTTTTCTCAGTTTTTAATCACAAATGAATATGAGATTTTGATTATTTTTTATTTAGTCATGCAAGAGATAAAAATTATGATTGTATAATTCTACTGAAATATGAGTGAAAGAGAGAGAATTCTTAGAACTGGGAAAGGTTTTTGCGAAATAGAGTGAATGCCACCAGTGTTCCTCTTTGTTTCTAATCCTCAAATGTTAGTTTCAAAATAGTGTAGTAAGTGCTATAAGACAAAGTATTGTATCTGTGTTATCTTACAGCAGAATAGGGTGTAGCTCAGTCTGTGGTGTGGGGGCGGGGGTTGAGGGTCTGTTCCCGATGTGGTGATACTCACTATGTCCTGAAAGCTCAGTAGAAGTAAATCAGGCAAAGTGGGAAGGGTGCTGCACACAGAATAAATAAAGGCATGAATGATAAATGTTTAAAATCAGGTTTCCTTCTCATTGCCTTTCATAGTCACTGCTTCTCTTTTTTATTGTCTTTTCTCCCATCCTATTCATCCTTGTATCTTTCTCAGGAATAGTGATAATGAGAATCCTAATGTTCATTTCGGTGGGTAGAAAGGGGCAATTTTTAGAGTGAATGAGACTTCCATTTTTTCATTTCAGTTTCACCCATAACCCATTTCCCCAGAATCTCTCCTTGGTTCTCATAGTTTGTTTATTTAGCACTTAATCATTCATAAAATAATCTTTGATTCTGCTGGGGAAATTAGTTGAATGAAATAACTCCAAGTGTTCACACCCTGGCAATGGAAGCCTCTCAATTAACAGTTTCTCAGGCACTGAACTTGAATCCTGCCTGGGAAAAGGCAGTTTGCCTTCTCCTCTCTAGAGTGGAAGTTGCCATTGTTCACTGAGTTGATGGGACATTTTTGGCCCCAGGACTCAGGCAAGAAAAAGCGTTGGAAATGTTGGTTACAACAGTGACTGGCAGCTCCAAACTCTCATTTTCCCTCCTTATAGGCAGAGTCAATTCATTGAGAAGTCATTCATTTTGACAGTCATTCTTCCTGTCAAAAATATAGGTTATCAGGTAAACAATACCAGGCTTAAGTGGCGAAAGCTAACAGTACTGTCTTAGTGTTACTTGGTTTCCTCATAGAGACCTGAAGTGGACAGAGGGCTGGGAGTTTTGCTTGTCGGGAAAGCAAAGAATAAGCAGGAAGAAACAGGACTGAGTGATATGACGAAATAGGTGGAGATGTATGCAACATGAGTACCTTCAAATACTTTGGAAGTCAAGAAAAGAGTTGGAAAGCCAAAAGATAGGGGAAAAATGTAGAAAAATAAGTAATAGGAATAATAAAAGCAGCCCTGGTTTGTGTTGCAGTTTTGCCTAACTTTGGACTGCCACATTTTCTCATCTCAAAAACCAGATGTCAGAGGGAACTCTCTCCCTCCTCTCTTTCCCACATCCCTGTCTCCATTTTTCTTTCCTTATCTTGGCTATAGTAAAAGAGAGAAGATATGAATCATCTCCTGCAGATTTTGTAGCAGTGTTTCTCAACTCTGGCTGCCTAGCTGAATCAAATATGATCCTTTCAGTATATGATGCCTGGGACCTGCTTCTGAACTTCTGAATTACAATCTCCAGGAATTAGACTTGAATATACGTATTTTTAAGAAGCTCTGTAGGTAATTCTGATGAACAGCATAGATGAAAACAAAGTGTGTATTATGGTTCCATAAGAAGAGGTACAGAACTCTAGAGGATGATTTGTAGCAATATATTCAAGATTATTTATAGTTATTTCAGCCTCTCCCATACAGAGACTTAGGTGCATTCTACTCACATGCTGCATTCTACTCACATGCTGGTTTGCAGATCCAAACCAAAGACTGAATCCAGAAGGGTCCAGGAGGGTAAATAAAGGTCCAGAGTGCACAAAGCTAGAGTAATTAAGTGAAGAAAAGTCCTTGAAGTATAGAGCTCAGAATGAAAACCTGGGAATATGGCAGGAAACCGAGCCATAAATGTACAATAAAGTTAAAGGTTAGAAACTAGACAAAATCAAGGGGAAAACCTAGAACAAACAAGGAATGTCCAAGATAATTATTATGTGTACCACTAGAATTTTGACAGCTTGACTTTATCGATGAGCATATGTGCATGCGTGTTTATGTGTGTGAGTGGAAGCAGACAACGGCAAACAGAATTTGTTCTAGACTATTTAGCAGTGACTATTTGGAGAGATGGAACACGGATGTAGTCTTATTTTGTATATGCAACATGTACTATATAGTTCTAGTATTCCTTACTAAAATAGAAATCCACCACTATACAGTTTAATCATTATATTAAACTAACTAACTTACAGGTTGAGGGGTTTCCATGCACAAGGTTACCATATTTCTTGTCGTATATCTTAGCACTGGTTCTGTGGAGTTATATCTCTGAATGGTCAAGTGTGTCATGTGTCTCTCCCTTCATATCATACACACCTGCCCCTCACCCTCACTTTGTTTGCACAGCTGTTTTTAAGTTTGAATTGGGGCAGTGTTGCCCTTTGGGATGTAAATTTGAGTTATTAATAGTCCAACATAGCATAGTAGAAAAATCTGGTATGTACACTGCAACTTTTTATGGTGATATGTACTACATTATGTAAACAATATGTGTTTTACATGAATATGTTTACCCAATACGCTGTGGTAGACCGTAGAGGTGGTCTGTCATGAATGTCAGTTTTCAAAAATACCTCAAAGCTCTCTGAGCCATTATGAATACTGAAGTTATACCATATGTTTTAAAAACTACTTTTAAATATTTATACATTATGAGCCAGTGGTTCCTAGGAGAACAAGAAATACCAGAAACAGTTTTATTGCAGTGCTTTATAGAATATATATATTTTCCCAAGCTTGACTTGTTTCAGTGTTTTGACTTAATATTGATTATCATAATTAATTTGAAGTACTTATATTATTTCTTCCCTTAGAAGTTGGAGAGAGACATTCTTTTAGTTGTTTTTCCCATAAAGATAGAAATGCACTCTAGGAAACACTACTAGTCACCCATTGAGATTCATACGTCTCTTATTCCTTACTCACTGAACTTTGATTTTGTTCAGGCGTCGGTTATTGGGAGGGTTGAGCCCATCTATAGCCTCAGAAATAGGTGACTCAATCTAAATTGGTTATGGTAATTCCATTTATTTAGGAATGGATATGAAACGCAGTTCTTACCCGTGAGTCATGAAGAGCATATCTTTTTCTAGGAAAAAATGTTTTTTGCTCTTAAAACTGAATGCAAGACAGCAGGGCCATCACTTTTTTTTCTGCCTCTGGACTTGGTCATCTGTATGTGTTGGTTCAGCCTAAGAGAGGTTTCTCTCTGCCTACTATGTATTCTGTCAGAAATTGGTGTAGTGCTCTCAACTGAATCCTTCAGGCCCAGACTGAGGGATAAAGGATCATTTTACTTTTCTTGTAAGTTTATATGATCATCGCAGAGGCTTAAGAGTGCAGGAGGAGTAGAGAAAGAGCTGGGACCCTAGAGAGTCACATCAGGTGGTTTCATAGAGCTTCTTCCCTGACCTTACGAGGAGCCCCTGCCAGGAGCCGCCCTTGTCAGGGCACAGCTGTATGCTTGGTCTTTCCCCACCTCTTCCCAGCCCAATGCCAGGGAGTCTTCTGGTATTATTAGCGCCCTCCAAATACTGCAGATCTTCAGAGCCAAATATAAATAGTGTAGCCCTTGAAAGCTTGTAGCCCACCTTCGTGTTTACCCCCAGGCTTAATGTGTTGTTCCAGAGCAGTAAGGTGACGCTTGCATCAATACCTCCATTGCCTTTTGTTTTTTTAACCAGGGAAGGGCTGCCGATCATCTTTTAGTGGTATCTTTCAGTCTGG